CGGCTGGGGGTCTGGACTCCTGGGTCTGGGGGAGGAGGGGCTGAGGCTGTAGGAGTTGGACCCCAGGCGTCTCAAGGACTTGACCTTCCAAGTGCTTGTTCCCATCCAGGTCCCAGGCGTCCCCCAAGGCCCTGGTGTGCGCAGCCGCCCTCACCAGCCCCTGGAGGCAGAGAGCACCTGTTTGCTCTTAGGAGAAAGAGGCTACTCATCCACCCCCAGGGCCCAAGTCTGTTTGCTTTGGAAACAAGGTGGGGGGTGTCTCGAGTTATCTGGTTCATCTTTCACCCTTGGGCCATTGGGTGGCGCCAGGATGTGGGGGTGGGGGCAAGAGACATCTATGACCTTAGGCTTGACCTCACCCCAACCAGCAACTGGTCTCCCCACTCCTTAGATGCCATAACGAAGAGAGAGACTGAGTCACAATGGAAAGTGCCAATGAGCCCCCAGCCCGTCCTCCCTCAGACCCAGGAGTCCAGGCCCCCAGCCCCTCCTCCCTCAGACCCAGGGGTCCAGGCCCCCAGCCCCTCCTCCCTCAGACCTAGGGGTCCAGGCCCCCAGCCTGTTCTCCCTCAGACCCGGGTCTAGCACGACCTGGGCCCTGGGTCACTGTCTCTGCTCCGTCCTGCAGAGATGCCTGGCAAACAGTCAGATGAGGAACAGGAGGCGGGGGCTGCCGAAAACGTAGCTGAGGAGGACCTAGGGGGCCTCACGGCAGAGGAGCTCCAGCAGGGCCAGGAGGCAGCCCTGGAGCTAGAGGACATGATGGCGCTAAGTGCCCAAACCCTGGTCCAAGCCGAGGTGGATGAGCTTTACCAGCAAGTGCGTCCCCTGGGCCAGGGCCGCTTCGGCCGGGTCCTGCTGGTCACCCATCGTCAGAAAGGTACCAGGGCCCGGAAACAGATGCAGGAGGGTCAGGGGCTGGTGGAATGGGCCAAGACAGGTGCCAGTCAAGGCCGGGGAGTCTGGAAACAGGAATCAAGTGCTGCCTCTGCCCCTTCCAGGCTGTGTGTTCTTGGAACCTCCCCTACCCTCTCTGAGCCTCAGCCTCGTCCTTCGAAAATGTGGGTGATTCTGTGAGCATAGGTCGATGGCTCTTGCTGGTGAGAAAGGGGGGCAGACAGAGTCCTCCCCTGTGGCTGGCTTAGCGGTCACCACGGGGATGATTTGGAGCCACACCGTGTGCCGGACCCTCCGCAAGACCAGAGCACAGTGGGTCCCCCCACCCCCAGTCTGGCACTTTCCTGCCAGGCGCGCACACATCCTCTGTCCGTCCCCTGAGACCGGCACAGTGTGGCTGGAACTCAGAGTCAGTGTCAATCCGGGGACACGCCTAGCAAGGCCACCTGGGGGGCTCGGCCCTGTCCTCTGTGCTTGGTGCTTGGACCCCAGCGCTGAACCCATGAGGCCTGCCTTCACGGAGGAGCTCCGGCCTGCGCAGGGAGAGAGGGTGCGAGCGTGCCTGGGGCAGCCACAACAAAGCACCACAGACTGGGGGTTCGTTTTCTCACGCCTCTGGAGGCCGGAGTCCCCCCCCGGGTGTGGGCGGGGCTCCCCCCTGTGTGTCCACACCTGCGTGTCTGTGTCCATTTCCTCCTTCTCTAAGGACACCAGTCACAGTGGGCTAGGGCCCACCCTCGTGACCGCACTTTACCTCTTTCAAGACTCTGCCCCCAGATAACAGTTCTATTCTGTGAAACCGGAGTGGGGACTTCCACCTCTGGGTTCGGGGAGGGCGGGTGCACAGTTCAGCCCACGTCAGAGACAGATGCAAAGAGCAAGAGGTCCAGGTGGGGGTCATCACCAAACTGGAGGCACAAGCCATAACAGGGGCCCAGGGGCCGTGCTTCTTTCCACCTTCTGGATGCCCGGCGCCTGGGCCGGGAGGTGCTGGGGCCGAGCGCCCACGGCACAGACGGACGGACGCCATCAAAACAGACGGCGGCCTGTGCAGTCATGGTGGGAGTCCAGGGCTTCCCAGATGCTTAGGAAAGGCCCTGCAGCATCCAGCTGGGGAACGGAAGGAGCATGGTCAGCGTGTGAGGCGAGGAGGTGACCTTCCTCCATCACTCACGGGCTCCTGGTGGGGGAGTTGGGGTCCTGGCGGCGGGTGACTATGCAGGGGAAGAAGCCAGAGCTCCCGCCTCCAGGGGACTTACCCTCCAGGTCACTATGCATAATGACTCCTCCTCAGCGGGACGGAGCCTCCCGGGCAGGGCATCTTTTCTGCATCCACTGTGGCTTTTGGGCATTGGTTTGCCGGAAGGAGGGCATTTGAAGTTCCGAGTTCAGTTTCCCTAGGGGCCCCCTCCATCTGCTCCAGCGCAGCAGAGCAGAAACTCACCGAATGCTGCACTGTTGTTATTATTTTTTTTTTTTTAAAGATTTTTTTTTTTTATTTATTTGACAGAGAGAGACACAGCGAGAGAGGGAACACAAGCAGGGGGAGTGGGAGAGGGAGAAGCAGGCTTCCCGCCGAGCAGGGAGCCCGATGCGGGGCTCGATCCCAGGACCCCGGGATCATGACCTGAGCCGAAGGCAGACGCTTAACGACTGAGCCACCCAGGCGCCCCTGCACTGTTGTTATTATTAATCACCACTGACAGCGTTTCCGTGGCCACGCTGCGTTTAGGGTGGCGTGGTGGGGAGGCAGGGTTTGCAGGAGGGGGCGATGGCGTGTGGGAAAGAGTCAGGGCTGGGGCGGGGCGGGGCGCGGCTCTCACTCTCCCTCCACACCTGTCCCCACTGCCCCCAGGCACCACCCTGGCACTGAAGCAACTCCCAAAGGCCTCCACCTCTCTCCGTGGCTTCCTGTACGAGTTCTGCGTGGGCCTCTCTCTGGGCACGCATTCAGCCATAGTCACGGCCTACGGCATTGGCATCGAGTCAGCCGACTCCTACAGCTTCCTCACGGAGCCCGTCCTGTATGGGGACCTCATCACCTTCATCCAGCCCAAGGTGGGTAGGTGGGCCCCGAGCAGGCCCCCAAGGGCCCCTCCCTGGGCCTCTCCGGAGTTCACAGACACCACAGAACCAACACCGTGCCCGAGTGGGATTCACCTGCCCCCGTGGACTCACCCCAGGCCTCTAGGGGGTCACATTAGACCTCCCCAGGGCTCACAGTGCCTCACGGGGTCACACTGGGCCTCACAGTGCCTCACGGGGTCACACTGGGCCTCACTGGACCTCACGGGGTCACACTGGGCCTCACTGGACCTCACGGGGTCACACTGGGCCTCACAGGGTCACGCTGGGCCTCCCCGTGGCAAGTCTGTTGGAGGTCCTTCAGTGTCCTGGGCCCCCCTGGGACTGAGGAGCTGCTGCATGGCCTCAGGTCCCTGCCGGCTGTCCAGGGAGGGGCAGGAGGCCCTGACGTCAATCCCCCGCAGGTGGGCCTCCCGCGGCGGGCAGTCCAGCGCTGTGCGGCCCAGCTGGCCTCGGCCCTGGAGCACATCCACTCCCGTGGCCTGGTGTACCGGGACATCAAGCCCGAGAATGTGCTGGTGTGCGACCCAGCCTGCCAGTGGGTCAAGCTGACCGACTTCGGCCACACGAGGCCCCGTGGGACACTGTTGCGCCTGGCTGGGCCGCCCATCCCTTACACGGCCCCCGAGCTCTGCTGCCCCCCGCCCCTCCCTGAGGGCCTGCCCATCCAACCTGCCCTGGACGCTTGGGCACTGGGGGTCCTGCTCTTCTGCCTTCTCACCGGCTACTTCCCCTGGGACCAACCCCTGGCCGAGGCCGACCCCTTCTACGAGGACTTCCTCATCTGGCAGGCGTCAGGCCAGCCTGAGGACCGTCCTCAGCCCTGGTTCGGCCTGACGCCTGTGGCCGACAGTCTCCTGTGGGGGCTGCTGGACCCTCACCCCCGGAGGAGGAGCTCGGTGAGCTCCGTCCGGGGCTACCTGGGGCGTCCCTGGAGGCAGCAGGAGGAGGAAGCTGAAGAGGTAGAGGAGGGGGACGGAGAGCAGGTTGGAGAGGAGGGGGGACAGCCCGAGCCCACCTTGCCTGCAGAGACTCGGAAAGGGAACCAGGTGGGCCCCACATCCTGAGGTCACCTCTGCCTTCTTGTGGTGGCTTTTGGCTTCTCTCTTGCCTGTTTTCCCCTTTCTGCCTTCCTTACCTCCCACGTGGGCATTCTGTGTCCCTCCTGTGGCCGGGGGTGGGGGGCATCGCTGAGACAGCCACCAGTCTGTCCCACTGTCCCCGTCTTCCCCAGGGCTCTGGCACCTTTGCTCCCCTTGCCCGCGGGCTTGTGGCTCCTACCCTCGGCTCCCGCACACCCTGGGTGCTTCCGCTGCCCTGCTCAGCGAGGCCTGCCCTCGGCGCGAGGCCCCCCGCCCTGTGTTCCTACCACCTCCCCCCCCCGCTCCCTCCCCTCTGGGACGCTCATCCCCTGCAAGCTGTCTGCTTAGGTCAGTGTGGCTCTTCTGCGTGTCCTGCTGGGGGGGTCCCGCCCGTCCTGCGAGGTGCCCCGCGTAGCCGGAGCCGTCCTGGCCAAAGATGTTTCCTCAATAAATGCCCCCGTCTGGTTCTGTGCCGCCGCCTCGTGTCCCTGTCTTCCGGCCCTGTCTCTCCCCCCGGCTGGGTCTCACTCACTCCCTCGGCCCCGTGGCTTCTGCCCACGCGCCAGGCTGTCGCCCTCTCGATAATGTGCCCTCTCTTCTCTCACCCAACTTCATCCAGCACTTAGGTCTCCATGATGCTGCTGGTCTGTCCCCTTGGGGAAGACTGGACAGCGTGTTGTCAGGCAGAGAGACGGAGCGAGGGACGGACAGGCAGACAGAGAGACAGAGCGGCCGAACACGGTCCCGTGGTGTGGCCGTGCTGCGTGCCCGAGGCTGGCCTCGGTGTGCATGTCGGGACCGTGTGAGCCTGTCTCTGCACGGGCCTGCGTGCAAGCAGGGGCCCCGAGCACCAGAGCTGTCCGGGCTCGGGCGCTTCTGCTGGACTGGGGCGGGAATTTCTGCAGATGTGTGTGTCCGTGAGCGTCTGGGCCCGTGGGTGTGCACAAGTCATGGCCCGTGGGGGACACACGGTGACGTGACTGTGTTTCGTGTGTCCGAGCGTTGGAGCCTGTGTGTGAGGGGACAGGACGGAAGCTTGCGTGTGCCTGGCTCTGTGTGTGTGGACATCAGGCCCGTGTTTGCGTGTCCACGAGACCTTGAGTGCGCGTGTGTGTAGCAGGAGGAGAAAAGTCACCCAGGTGCCGCTGCCAGTCACCAGCTGGGCCCCTCTCTCCTTCACACCTTCTTCCCCCGCCACCCCGGCCCCTTCTTGGCAGCTGCCCTGTTTGCAAACACTCTGTCTTCCTCTCCTCGCCTTCTTTGGCCACCCGCCCAGAGCAAGGCTACAACTCAGAGCTGGATCGTGTGTCACTCTCTCCCAGGCCCCTACCACCCCCCCCCCCCCGCCCAGGGCCCCTGCTGTGGCCTCCTAGGTGTTGCCTGGACTGGGGAGGGGGGTTGCTAACAGCACCTGTGGAGTGACCCCAAAGACACTTGAATCTAGTTCAATTCAGAGGACTAGCGACACTGGCCCCTGTCCTGGGCAATCCAGGTGAGCTTCCTGGAGTAGGGGATCGCTGGAGAGAACAAGATAGGGAGGTACATAAGGGGGAGAGCATGATCAGGGCCTCCTGCCAGCTTATCTGTGAATGTTAACTATCCCAAGCCATCAGGCCAAGAGTGTGTCCCAAAAAAGCTGGAGGTGGCTGGGGCAGGGTGGAGCTGGGAAAGAGGGGAGTGGAGATGGGCAGGGGCAGGGGAAGCTGCAGAGGGTGTTAATTGGTGGCAGCAGCTGAAGATTAACTGGGAGGTGATAATGACCCAGTGGGGGGCCCCAGGGCAGGGCAGGAAGACAAAAATTCCCAGGCAGGGCCTGAAGGGGGCAGGGGCAGTGCTAATCAAGTATTAGTTACTTAATTAGGTAAGACTTAATACTAATCATAATACTTAACATTAACAAAGCAGCTTGCTCCTCGACCAGCCCCCCTGGCAGAAAAATCTGCTCACTTGGTGGGATCCTCCTCATTTCACGGGTGGGGGCCCCAAGGGCAGCATGGGGGTCCAAGGTAGCACCTGAGCTCCCACCGTGGGCCAGGGGCAGGAGCAGAGCCAGGAGTCGGACCCAGACTGGGTCCTGCCCGGGGTCCACGGTCTTCAACTTTAGGGTGTCCCACTGCCATCAGTGGCTGAAGGGGTCCCACATGGGGGGCTGGGGTGCATGTGAGGGGGTGCGTGTAGGTATCCGTGTATGTGTGAATGTGCAAGGTGAGTGTGCATGAGGGGTCATGAGGTGGTCATCCCTCCCTGGGAGGACACAGGCGTTGGGGCAGGTAAACCATGGGGATAGAAGGTGGGGGCAGGTCGCAGAAGCCTCCAGACCCACTGACACGTGCTAGTGAGGATGTGGAGAGGCTAGAACCCCCATGCGGCGCAGAGAGAGTGTAAACAATGGTGCCGCCATTGTGGGAGACTGCCTGGCAGTTCATCAGCTCGTTAGACACAGAATTACCATGTGGCCGGGCAATTCTGCTCCTCGGTCTGTGCCCATGAGTAACGGAAGCATGCATCCATACAGATATTCACAGCGACACTACTCACAATAGCCAAACCGTGGTGACAACCCAAATGTCCATCAGCAGCTGAGCTGAGAAACACAAGGTGGTCCAACCAGACCCTGGACTACTACTCAGCCGTGGAAAGGACTGAAGCCCTAGCACATGCCACGTCGCGGGTGGACCTCACAAACACCATGGGAAGAGAAAGAGGCCAGCTCTGGAAGATGGGCCATCACAGGACCCCATTATGAAAATGTCCAGAATAGGCAAATCCACAGAGGAAAGATTGCTGGCTGCCGGGGGGTGGGGCTGGCGGGGGGAGATGGGGAATGGCTGCTAAGGGGCACACATTTTCTTCTTGGGGGTGGCGATGGTGGTGGAGTCGTTCTAAAATTAGATTGTGGTGAGTGTTGCACAACTCTGAATATATTAAAAACCACTGAATTGTACACGGGAAAAGGGTGAATTTTATGGCATGTAGATTTCATCTCAATGAGGCTAAAAACCACAAAACAAGCATGTCCAAGGTTCTAATGCCTTGATCAGCTTCTTTCCTTCTCGGGGCCTCTGAATTCCCATCAAAAAGAAAAGAGAAAACCCTGCCCTCCTTCTAATAGCTCTGAATTAATCAAAACCAAGACCTTAAACACATGACCCACTCCCTACCCCTCCCTCCATTTTACAGAAAAGACCATGAGGCCCCAACGGGGAGGAACCTACTTTCCGAAGACCAACAAGTCTAAAGGTGTTAGAGCCTGAATTCAAACCCAGCTCTGGTCTGATTCCAGAGTCTTTGCTCTTCACCCCAGCCCAGCACCTCTAAAGTGTGCCGGGGCTGGTGGTCATCAAGGAGGAACTGCTCCCCCCAGCTGGAAAGCCCCAAGCTTGCAAGCAGGACCACGTGGGTGTCCAGTGCAAAGTGAAAATGTGGGGTTTCTTGCTTCAACAAAAGTTTTTCCTTCCCCTCCCCCTCTGCCATTTGCTGTTGATGCCACTCCCTGGTCTCGGCCTGGGGCATGGAGCTACTCCCTGGCCGACCCTCACCGGGGATGGGGCATCCAGCCACCAGAACCCAGCAGGGAAGTGACTGTGCATGAGCTCCGGGCTCCGGTCCCATCGGCTTCACTTAGAAAACACAGAATCAAAAATCACGAAGAAGAACATGGGCAGAGCGTTAAACCAACCCGGCTGCACCCCACCTGCACTCTGCTTGCAGCGGGGAAAGAGCCTGCCCGGGGCCGGAGGGGGCCAGCCCGGCAAGGCCTCTATGAACAAGCTGCAGGGTGGGAGTTCTGCAGTTCAGTCTAGGACACAGATAATGCAAATGGCTCGAGCAGCTCTTCTCGGTCGTGACAGCTGCCGGCCGCAAATCACCGGCCACCTTGTTAAAACGCGGATTCCGATGGGGGGGAGGGGTCTGAGGGGGTGCTGGTGAGGCCCATGCTTTCAGGGCATGGGTCACACTTGCTGGTGCAAGGGACACAATTGTAGAGTACTGATCTTGCGTCCTAGCTAAACTCTTATTAACTCTAACCATTTGTCCACTGGATGCTTTGGGCTTTTCTACGTGGACAGTCATACCGCCCATGGGAAAGGACAGATCTGTGTCTTTCTTCCCACCCTTCCTGTGATTAAGGAAGCCCCCCCTCCCTGCTCCTACTCTGCTAGGAGTGTGCGTGTGCGTGTGTGCGTCAACCATGAATGGGTGCTGAGTTTTGTCAAATGTTTTTTTTTTCTGCATCAGTCAAGCTCACTAGGCCTCTGTAGCTACTGTTCTGGGCTTGTTGCAAGCTGGCAGGCACAGGATAGGGCTCAGCTGTCCCGTAGGAGGTATCCAGGTCAGGGCCAGCAGTAGGTGGGGGCTGGCCATCCACCCTGGCCCTGGGCCCTGGGGCCAGATGTTTGGGCTTAGCTGCCTGGCCAAGCAGGGATAGAGTGACCGGATAATTAAGCACCCGCTTCTTTGGGGCTGGCAGAAGGCAGCAGAGGGTGGAGGGACCTGGGGCCAGAGTGCCCAACAGCCTCCCCACCAAGTCCGGCTCACAGATGGGGGCCTGGAGCCTAAACTCCTAGTGGGGCCCTCTGAGGGGACCCAGAGTTGGGGTGCACCTGCTCCCAACCACAAATGGGAAAGTAGACCCTTTGCCTCCAGGTTGGCGTGCCGTCCTCTGAGCCCCTGACCGCCCAGGAGGGCAAGGGGCAGGCAGGCAGGGCCCCCTCGGCCCTCCCCGTTTTCCAGTCAGCAGTTATTTAAGTCTGGGGCTTAATGAAACCCGGGGAACAGAATTCTCTGTGTGTTCCTCTGCCTGTTGGCGGGGGCAGTCAGTCTATCTATCAGGACCCCCGGACATTATCCCTCCCCGCCCCCAACGAGTAACTGGACCCTGCTGGCCTTTGCAGGACTGTGGGGGCGCCAGCTCCATGACCTTCCAGGACCTCTGAGCCAGGCTCCAGACGGGGGAGAGGAGGAGGAGGGAACGGTCTCCTCCTGTCTGAGGCTACAGAAACCAGAATCGGAACTTCTTTCAGTCTTTCAAGACAGCCCCCAGTTTACAAGTTTACAGTTTACAAGGGGAGGGGAAGGGCCCACCCAAGGTCACTCAGAGACAGGCCCATCATGGGAGTCCTAACCTGGAAGCCCAGGCCAAGGTCAAAGCAGGGGAATTTGCATCTCGTTTGAGTTCCCACTCTGCTGTGTGGCCTGAGGCAAGGCGCTTGCCCTCTCTGAGCTTCAGTGTCCTTTCTGAAATGGGGATCAAGTTCCTCCCTTAAAGGGCTGTGGTGAGGATGGGATGTAGTGTGTTAAGAGGCCACACTGGGTCACGCGCAGAGAAGCGCAGTCAGGAAGGGATCACGATCATTCTTGTTAACTGAGCACATGATATGCCGAGCTCTGTCCTCGCCCACACTACCTCATCTAATCCTCACCACCACCACCACCTCCCCAGGGGCAGGTGCTATTTCTCTCCCCGTGTACCCGACGAGAAGGTTCAGAGAAAGGAAACAAAACCCCAGAGTCCCACCGCCTGGACATGGTCTCGAGTCCAGGATAGTCTGACTTATGAGCAAGGACCCTGGGTCAGACAGGCCTGGGCACCAATCATGGCTCCACTAGATCTTCCCTGAGTGACCTGGGGCCTCAGTGCCCTGATCTGTAAAATGGGGATAAATACAATAACAACCGGCACAGAACGAGCACTTATCGAGAGCCAGGCCCTGTGCTAAGCGCTCTTACATATGCATTAATTTATCAGTTAATCAGCACAGCAACCCATGAGGTATGTACTTATTATCCCCCTTTCATGGTCGGAAAAACTCAGACCAAGAAGTTAGGTAACTGGCTCAGGTTCACGGCCACAAGCAAACTCAGGCGTTCAGGCTCCAAAGCTCACTCCTTCTCTGCTGAGCTGTGGTAACAGTACCCTCCTCAGCAGGTGTTCATGAAGATAAAGTGACCTGATGCAGTTGAAGCCCTGAAAACAGAGCCTGACCCAAAAGAAGTACCCAACAAATATTAGTCATTATTATTATCATCATGTGCTCATTCATTCAAGAGGTATTTAAGGAGTGTGCACTCTGCGTCAGGCTCTGCTCGAAGAGCTGGGCGTACGTCTGTGAACAAGACAAAGATTCCTCCCACCACGGGGCTTCGTCAGTGCCATGGTGGCATCTTCAGCACCCCCATCTCCATCGTGATCTTCGTCACTATGTCGTCACACTCATGCCCATGAGCACCTTCATCATCATCACCGCCATGATCATGGCCAACCTCACTCCCATCACCATCATCGTTGTCACCGTGACGGTCACCACCATCACTGCCGTTGTAAAGCTCACCACCATACGTCTGCCACAGTCACAGCGACCATCATGCTCATCGCCCATTATCACCAACGCCATCACCAGAAACACCATTGCCTTGCCTGGTGCCTGTGGGATTGACAAATCAAGACCAATCTTGTGATTCCATCTCCCTGGAGTTCCCCCTAGGTCCCCACAAATGTCACTGATATTTTGTTTTTAATTAGACACTTTGGTTTTCATTTTTTGTTTGGGTGTGTCTTAGCCCCTCAAATCCCATACAGGGTCACACGTCCCCCCTCAGAGGCCTTTCTTCCTCCTCTGGGGTGGTGGTGGTTGGTGCAGATGTGCTGGGGGGCCAGGCCCCCTCAGCAAGTCTTTTTACAACCTCACCCAGCTGCCCAAGGTTCCGGGTGGCCTCCACCAGCTGGGTCAGCCCCAGTCCCAGGGCTTGGCGCTGCTGCAGTTCCTGTTCCAGGACCAGGGTCAGCCTCTGCAGCTGGCCACCCACGTCCCTCACAGCAGCCACCAGCTCCACCAGGGCAGGTGGCTCACAAGCCATGACCCTTACAGGTGGTGGCAGCGCCACACATGGGCCAAGGGGGTCTGGGCTCTGACAAGGAGTTGGCTTTGGGGTGAGATGGTCAGGGAGAGGTTGAGCCAAGGGGTGGGCCATGGAAGACAGGTGGAGGTCAGAGGTCACAGTAGGGTCAGGGCCTGAGTGTGGGGTCTGGGTGGGTGGTAGGCTTGGTTTGGGGCTCTGGCTTCTTGGTGGTTCAAAGTCCTGAGTGGACAGTGTGTCCATGCTTGGGGCTGGAGAAGGCCTGGAGTGGCTGGACTCTGAGGCTGGAAAAGGCGCTAGGCTCAACATCTGGGATGTAGAGAGACGGGAGGACCCCGTGGAGGTCAACCAGGGCTGTAGGCTAGGCTTGACTGTTGGTGCTGGAGCGGGAGAGAAGAGTTCTGTTCCCAAGGAAGTTAGAATGGACTTGATAGTGATCATAGGGGTTGAGGTAGGGTCGGCCGTCATGGCGGGGCGAGTAGAGGTGGTAGAATGAAGGGTCATGGTGGGGTGAGGGGTCGTGGCAGGGTAAGGGGTTGTGATAGGGTGAGGGGTTGTGGTGGGTTGAGCGGCGGTGGACTGAGGGGGTGTGGTGGACCGAGGGGTCATGGTGGGTTGAGGGGTTGTGGTGAGGTAAAGGGCTGTGGTAGGAGGAGGGGTTGTGATGGGTTGAGGGGTTATGGTGGGTTGGGGGGGTGTGGGGGGTTGTGGAGGTGTGGTGGGTTGTGGGGTCGTGGTGAGTTGTGGGGTCGTGCTGGAGTGAGGGGTGGTCATGGGCTGAGAGGTCATGGAGGGGTGAGAGGTCAAGGTGGAGTGAGGGGTGCTAGTGGGGTGGGGGCTTGTGGAAGGGTCTGGGGATCTGGAATGATCTGGAACTGTGTTGGCGTATGGAGCTGTGTCCAAGTTTGGGGTTGTGTCAGATTCTGGAGTCAACTCTGAGGTAGAAAAAAGGTGGGTCACCGCTGCTGGTGCAGAGGGGTCAGAGGTCAGTTCTTTGGGCAAGGTGGGTGGTAGGGTGGGTGAGAGATCAGGTGTCAGCGCTGGAATCACAGCGGCCTCAGGGGTGGACAGACTGAGGCCAGGGGTTGTCAAGGTGAGGTCAGAGTTCATCCGGGAGGCCAGGTCTGGGCTGGGTGGCAAAGTGCCAGGAGGGTCAGAGGTCACCTCCCGCGTTGAAGCTGTCTCGGGAATAAGCCGTGGCGCAGAGTCGGGGGTCACCGGTGGGCCAGGGGGCTCTGGCGAGGCCGAGGGAACTGGGGAAGGGGCAGGGGGCGCCGTCCTGGCCGCTGTGGGACGCTGCAGCCGACGCTCCGGCCACGGTTTCCTCAGGGAACCTGGAGGAGGAGGAAAGACAGATGGCCGAGGTCAGCTTGCCCCGCCCACCCCTGTGGCCCGCCCCGCCCCTCCAGGGAGGAGCCGACCAACGGGAGAGCGCAGGGCCTTGTGACATCATGGGTTGCCAGCAGACTTCACCCCGCCCTAGCGCCCCACCTCCCCGCCACCTGTGGTGTCTCCAGGCGCCACCTGGCGTCCTCCACCGCGGGTGAGGGAGCGCGGGGGAGGTGAGGGGTACCGCGGAAGTCGGGAGGGGGCGGAAACGTGGGGGGCAGAAGGGGGAGGCTGCAGGGGGTTGTGGAAGCATGCGGGAAAATGCGGGAGTGTGGGGGATGTGGAGGCTTACCTGGGGATGGCAGGAGGGGCTGAAGGGCAGAAGGGCAGACCCCTCTGAGGGGGCACATGGGGGGAGGAATGTGGGAGATGCCAGAAGGTGCAGAAGCATGAGGGGGGACGCAAGAGGGTTCTGAGCGTAATCTCAGTAGTCAAGATTTTTATGTCACATTTTTAAACAAAATTATTGCAAGAGATCCACTGTGAACAAAAAAGTCAAAATTTTACCCCGACAGAATCTGACGGGGCCAGGATTAGCTAAAGTCAAGTGAGGTAGATGGGATCCTGCCTTTAGTTAAATTTTTGATATTTAGTTCATTGTGAATGTTTTACATTAATTTTTATTTTTAAAACTATAAAGATACTATTTACCTTGATAACTGAGTGTTTTGGCAGCCCCTTACATTTAGGGCCTGAGTAGAGTGAGAAGCCTCACCCCCTTCCTGGCTCAGCTTCCAGGTAAATGAGAATTTTATCCCTTTTTGCAGATGAGGGGAGTCAGGCCAAGAGGGTAGGTAACTTGCCATAGGTCTCACAGATACAGTTCGCAAATTGTGGGGACAAGATATGAAGCAAAGTCCTTTGCATTCAGAGTCTAGGTCATTAATAATCACTTTCTCAGTGATGGATATGATAACATGTGGCCACCGAGTACTTGAAATGTGGCCAGTCCAACTAAGGAAATGAAAGTTTCATTTAAAAAAAATTTTTTTTTTTTTTTGTGGGCAGCAAAGCAAGGTTTATTGAGACTTAGCAAAGTGATAATACAAAACTCCCAAGGAGGGAGGGGACCTGAGGGGGTTGCCCTCATTTTTCAAATTTTTGATTCATTTAAAGTAAAAAGCCACCTGTGTTGACAGCTACCATACTGAACGATACAGCTCTAGAGAATTCCAGTTTTCCTGTAGGATTTTTGATGTGCATCCTGTTCTTGCCATTTGTTTACAGCAGTAGAGAAGTGGTTAAGTAAAGGGTTTGGCCTCCAGCCAGGGCTTAAACCCCAGACCTGTCGCTTCCTAACTGGGTGACCATGGACAAGTTATTTAACTGCCTTGAATCTCAGTTTGTGGATGATCAACGGACCTCCCTTGTAGAGCTGTGATGATTCAGGGAGCTCCTGTGTGTACAGGGACTTAGGACAGTGCCTAGCATGTAACAGGCACTCTTGTGATTATTAATACTGTCGTAGTCATTGATGTCCATACCTCAATTTCTCTCATCTGTGAAATGGGCATAATTCTAATACCTACATCATAGGGCTCCTATAGATGTTATGAGGGCTAGAGGGGTAATATATGTAAAGTGCTTAGAATAGTACCCAACACATGGTATATTGCTCAGTAAATATTAACTGGTTTAGTTATTATTTCAAGAATCTCAGCTTGCTTAAATACTGTAGGGGTTCAGATGCCTACAGTGGTCTTTTTAATTTTTCAGACGCAAGGTACAGAGAGCTAAGCTAATCATACTCCTCTGTATATTGTCATCAACAGTCCTGCAATGTCTCTTCTTTCTTCTCCTTTTTCTTCCCCGATCTCCATCCCTTGCACTTTCTCCCACAGCTACCTCCATTAATGTATTTGACATATGTCCTTATACAATATCTTATACCATATAGAAGGCATATATGTATATATGTTAATATATTAAGTGTATGTGTATTTTTGTGTTTGTGCTTTTCAGTTTTTGCAAATCATTGGAAATTTCATTCTGCTTCTGTCTTCCTCCATATTATGTTGTTCCTACCGCCCCATGTTGCTCTGTGTGTAGCTAGTCATTGCTTTAGCTATCGCATGGGATTCCATCATGTGTACCCACTGCATTTCTCTTGTTACCCACTGCGGGACATGTAACCTGCCTCCAACTCCCTGATATCACATTCCAAAGAAAACCCTCATATAGGCTTCCCTTAGGAGCCTGTTCAAGAATTTCTCTGGAATACAGAAGAGGATTGCTGGGTCACAATGTACAATCATACTTAATCTCACTAAACTGTCTTTATCAAATAGCTATATCCAGTGGGGATGTCTGTATTCCCACATCTTCACCCACACTCGATATTACCTACCTTTCAAATTTTGTCCATGCTTGTCATCATTTTAATTTGAATATCCTGATTTCTTATGAGTGTGAATGTTTCTACATATACTTGTTGGCCATTTGGGCTTTCCCTTCTGTGAATCGCCTATTCATAACTGTTACCCATTCTCGTATAGGGTCATTTTTTTATTGATTTGTCAGACTGAATTGCATAGTATAGGTTAGGGCTTCCCCACCTGGGCATCATTGATATTTGGAGCTGGATGATTCTCTGTTGTGGGGGACTGTCCTGTACGTAGTAGGATATGTAACAACATCTGTGGCCTCTACCCATTAGGTTCTAGTAGCCTCACTACTCTTAGTCATGACAATCCCAAACATCTTCAGATATTGCCAATTATTCCCAGTTGAGGGCCACTGATGTAGATAATAACCCCTTGTTTCAGGATACATTTCTTTTGGGTCTCTGGGGTAAGAGTGGGGTCACCACTGGGGAACTTGGAGTCCATTTCTCTATCCCACAACACAAACAACCTGGTTGCCACAGCTACATGCCTCACCTGTGTCCCCATGGATCCTTGGAGCTGGAGAGGAATGGCCTGGGCTCCGGGTGATAGTGGTGGTAAGAATGGATCCAGGTCTGCCTGCGGTGGGTGTCCCCTTGGGCAGAGCCCCTCCTGAAGGTGTATCCCACGTCCAGGAAGGCTCATAACTATCCTCATCACCTTGAGAGATATAGGGAGAACTGAGTCTCGCTTCACTTGATTTTGACCCTCTGTTCCTCTTGGACCCAAACTCAGGCTTCATCCTGTCTCAACTAGACCACCACCCCAATCTCCTCCCTGACTTCACAGCCACCCTGGTGACTCAGCTGAGATGCTCTGAACTACCAAGAACAGAAACTTGGACTAAACCAGCTTATAAAAGAAGAACAGTTATTATGTCAATGTCCTGATGTCCCTGCCCCTACTCATTCTTTATTTTTCCCTCGGGGGGAAAAAAAACACCCTATAATATCTTTATTAATGAACCACCAGGAACATTTCTGTATTATTTTCCCTATGGTTTTTAGATGAATACACTTGGATAATCTCTACATGACAATAATTTTATATAACATATAAATGTATAATATACAGAGACCCTTGAACACCATAGGTTTGAACTATGCAGGAACACTTGCATGTGGATTTTGTCCATAAATACAGTATGGTACTATAAATATATTTTCTCTTCCTTACGATTTTAGTAACTTTTTTCTCTAGCTTACTTTATTATAAAAATATAGTATATATGTGTGTATATATAACTTACAAAATATGTGTTGTTTATGTTATCAGTCAATAGTAGGCTATTAGTAGTTAAGTTTTGAGGGAGTCAAATGTTATATGTAGATTTTTGACTGCGTGCGGGTCAGTGCCCCTAGCCCCCGTGTTGTTCAATGGTCAGCTGTGTAATAAAAATATACCATTTTATAAGTATAATGTAAAATATAATGTAAAGTATATCATTTTATATAGGGAGAATAGAAAGACTGAATTCAGTCTTTTAGCTTGGTGGATCAAAAAACTTATTTTGGGCGCCTGGGTGGCTCAGTCGGTTGAGCGACTGCCTTCGGCTCAGGTCATGATCCCGGAATCCCGGGATCGAGCCCCGCATCGGGCTCCCGGCTCGGCGGGGAGCCTGCTTCTCCCTCTGACCCTCCCCCCTCTCATGCTGTTTCTCTCTCGCTC